CACAGGAATCCTGTTGCAAGAACTGCTTCAAAGATATCATCCTTGAACTTGTCTTTAGCAGTAGTATCGGTGCTAGCAATAGCAGCATACGCTTTCGTCTTGACTGCAAAATTTTGGAACCAGGCAACGCCATATAGATCTTGCAGGACTTCAGCCTGTCTCAAGAATCGTTCCTTGAAATGCATCAAGTTTTCGGTTGTTCCTTGCTTCATAGCAAAGAACTTTTGATTCTAAGAAGTCATACTCAGCATCAGCACTCTTCTTCATGAATCGTTCAATATGTTTCAAGAGTTTGATTGGATCTTCAAGAGTAGTCGTGAAATCGGCTTCACCTCGAAGCTTGATATCCATCGCTTTTGTCACAAACTTCAGCATGATGTTTGATTTGACAGTTCGCTTGTTCGTTTTGAAGTAGGCTGATCTTCGCATGTTCTCGTCGAGCTTTGCAGAATAGAGAATCTTGTTTTGAGTCATCTCTGTTTCTCTTGCAACAGCTTCAGTTTGAGTTGGAGCATTCAATCTTGGAGCGATCGCATTGAAGTCGATTGACTTTCCATCTCGAATTGATTTCACCATGTCTTCGGAACATTTCATTCCAGAAGCTTGGATGTAGTCAATCACTCTTTCTTTGGCATCTTTGTACAACGATCTTGCCTTTCCATTGTTTTCATCTTTTGTTGAAAATAGATGTTTCACAACTGTAGAACTTGTATTGCTCTTGACTTTCTGAGGAGTCACACGTCCCTTTCCTCCACCGGAAGAAGAACGTCCCATAGTCAACGAATCACTCACTCCTTTGTAGATAAGGCAGTGCTGTTCTTGACGTAAATTTGTTTTGTTGCCTTTTGTGATTGAATGTTAGAATAAAGCAAAATGTGCTCTATTGTGAGTGCCTTTAGCGCTCAGAACAAACTCTCTGCAATCTAAATTCGTAATTGACTGTACAACACTTTCACTACAATAGTTCTCCTGTGTCTAGGTGTACTTTGAGTGAAATTGTTCCTATTTGATTAATGTTTGGCTTGAATTGATGATTCAATCACAAAAGTGAGGTTAACGATTTCCCTTGGAAAATCCCTTGTTTACAGAACTCGATTCGACTTCTACGACAATTCTGTGTTGAATGCAGTACTTTGGGAAGAAGAACTGGCTGGAAGAAGACTACAAACCAAAGTTGCTGAAGCACAAACATGGTGCGCCAAGCTTCTTGTTGACGGTCTTGTAGATTATGATGGCGAATCTGCTGATTTGTTCTCGTTTGTCACCAACGCCATTGAAACAAGAGCTGAAAAATTTGATCCAAAGCAATGGCCACCGACCAAAAAAGGTCTGAAAGATTTGCTTCACCATTTGAAAGTGATTGGTTTAAAGCACGGAAGCAAATTCATATGACGTAGATCAAAGCCATACCATGGGACAAAACTACAACACTCAGAGCAATCTAATGAAAAAGGTCGATGTGCTACGGGTGTTGTTGATGTGATGCCATCGTAGAATATGGCACTGTATGAATTCGACAAGGATTGCGAACGACTATAAAAAACGGGAGACAATTAATGCACTGGTACGGGAGATGAAGTTTTGGACAGTCTTATTGACCAGTTGGACCAACAGAAAACGGCAGAGCAGTCGCCGACAAAAAACACTGGATTTGGTGTCAGAGTGTTATGAGCACGTTAATTGGACCAGAGAGTGTCTGTAATTTGTACGTTTAGATAGTTTAACCTAGAGATTTGCACACATCTTGTAAAATCCCCATGTTTGTCATCGTACTCGTTTTCGTCCCGAATCTCTTGTACCTCGCTACTCAATTTAACTGTTGATCAGACCCAAGCAATCCACAATGGATAGAGGAGCCTGGGAAGGCTTTTGAATAATATCTGTTTGAGGAAATAGCAGCCATTGTGATGCGATGATGTGTGGACGATTTGTGTTGTTTTGATGTGTTGTTTGGTTTCAGGTCGAAAAAGTGTCGGACTTGAAGTCAGAAATCACTGGAGAGAATTGCCAGAAGGCGAACGTTGGTGATATCTGGTAACTTCAAATAATTTAGCCCTAAATGTCAAAGCATCTCATATTGAGAGCTGTATATAAACGTGGCACGGATGGTTGCACGCATGGCACGTCTGCAGTTTAGCCTTTGCTAGCGAACAATTTAGTTAACGCTGCGACGTGTTTAGCCTTCGGTGCGCATCCGAACGCCAAAGTTGTGGCATGAAAAAATCATGAGATCGATACGACGATGGTGATCCTAACCATGCTGTTATTCAATTTCGTATCTGGTGCGAAGTCGATCTCCTTATTTGACCAGTCCTCACGCAACACATGACCGATATTGAAGGTCTTCACTCTGTTGACTCCTTCGCCAACAGGACCACTTCTCAAGTTTGTGAAGACATCAAATCTATGCAAAGAGCCCCTGATCCCAACAATGCAAATGCGACTATCGGAGTCACCGCTCGCGAATCGATGACCATTCATTGTATCTCCAAATATGGGAAGCTCCTCATTTTGGTTCAAAGAACCCATACTCCAGCCCTTGGAACCATCCCAAATCTCCTTTTCATTGGCCAATTCTATGATGAAAGCCCAGATCTCATGGAAGGGGACTCCTACCCGCTTCCTCCTCATCCCCCAAAGTTCAACAATCGCGATGGTCGAATCATGATGGAAAACATTGAAAGTTGGGCTCGTACCGCCTATGGATATTGTGGAATTCGCCTTGATTATATTTTCCGTGAAATTTCTGAACTTCCAGCTGCTGGTGACCCTGGATTCCTCCGAGCCGACGACGGCTCTTGCTCCATCGAAGAAGAACTTGTCCGACATGCTGCCCACACTGGTGCTGTGTTCCGTTGCAACAACCAGAAATTTTGGGTTATGCTCCATGCCGTCACACATGAAACTGATGCCTACAATCACGTTCGTCAATTTGCTCCAACTTTGAATGGCCGAGCTGCTTACTTCGCTCTGTTTGCACAATATCGTGGAAGGGGACATTTCACCAATGAACGCCAAGCTGCTGTCCGTGTCCTCGCAACACTTCACTGGAACGGTAAAGCTCAAGGCTTCACTTGGAATACTTTTATCAGTCGCCTTATTGGAGCCTTCAACGACCTCGAGTTGAACGTTGATCCACGCTCTGATGCAAATAAGGTTGACGTACTTCTCAAGAAAACTGTTGGAGATTCTTCACTTTCCAATGGAAGATCACACATTACAGGAGATGCCGTTCTCCGATCAAATTTCCAAGGTGCCATCGATTATTTAAGAACACAAGTCTTAGCTGCAGGTAACGACAACACCCAGCGCCGCAATCGACAACTTGCTGCTTTTACTCGTGGTGGTGGCGGACGCGGTGGTGATGGTAGAAGTGGAGGTCGTGGCCGAGGAAATGGCGCCACAAATTGTCTGCAATCGAATGTACCAGATCGCTTTAGCCGCAATGGGATACTACTAAATGATGGAGGTTATTCAAATCAAATCTGGAGAGAGGAGTTTACACAAGAAGAAAGAAATATTTGCTTAGAAATGCGTCGCAACCGTCGCAATGGTGGTGGTCGTGGCGGAAGAGGCCGTGAAGGCCGTGGTGGTCGTGGTAGAGGTCGTGGTATCAGCGCTGTCCATGATGGACAAGCTGATCAAGAAGAAACAAAGGAAGAAAATAACAATGATGGGCGTGGGGCAGGTGCAGGCATGAGTCGTCGCCGTCGCAACAATCGTGAAGACGATTGACTAGGAGCCTCATCTGTTGGATCCCTCACAAGCATTCGCCCAAACTCTCGTATGGTATCAGTGCTATCATCCACAAACACCCTTACCAACCGATGTGAACTGGACTCGCACGCAGATACATGTGCTTTTGACCCTGCTGGATGTTGCGTCCTTTCAACGTCCTCTCAGTCAATAAATGTCACCGGTTTTCACAATGGTTTGAAAATAAACGATGTTCGAATTGGAAAT